AACAACGCATCAGAAGGATCTAAGTCAGGGAAAGCGTTTGAAGGTATTAGTTTGTCAGAGAAAATGTATTGTTTCTAATGCGTGGTCCTGTCTTGATTAGACAGGTTTCAGATTGATGGTGATGGTAAAGTTTATAGTGACTGTCTTAGTCTGTTTGTGCTGCTATAACAAAATACCACAGTCTGGGTGGCTTATAAAACCACAAACATATCTCACAGTTTTGGAATCTAGAAGTCTGAGATTGGGGTACCAGCATGAATGGGTGAGGGCCCTCTTCTGGGGTAGACTTCTCAGTGTATCCTCACATGGCAGAAGGGGCTAGGGAGCTTTATGGGGTTTCTTTAAGGGCATTAATTCCATTCAAAAGGGTTCCACCCTCATGACTTCACCTGTTGAAGGCCTGATCTAATACTATCACATTGGCTATTAGGAATTCAACATGTGAATTTTGGGGGGCTGGGAGCCCTAAACATTCAGAGGATAGCAATGGCTATATCCTGATGCTGTGACCAACTTTCCCTCTGTGACTCGCTCCTGTCCATAATGAGAACCAACCCACTGATCTTTGCAGATAATCCACTCACAAATGTCATCTCTGAATTCATATTTGAGCTAAAATTCCCAGGACTTTCCACTAGCAGTGACATTTTGCAAATATTGGTTTAATATCTTGATTTACCTCTTTCTTCAGAGTCCTTTATACTTCTGTAAAACCTGCTCTCACTCTCTTTAACATGCATTTACGTAATGTAAACTGAAGATGGATACCCTAAATGCATACTAATGTGAAACACTTTGGCTTCTGTAATTCCTGAAATATGAAGCTGATGAACACATGAGGACAAACCCTGTCTGCCTGGGTGCCATCTTTGAAATTCCTAGACGCTGGGCTAAGGAGCACCCTCATTCTCAGTGGAAATCTTGACACCTGAATAGTTATTTAATTATATTTTATTACTATTTAGATTTTTGTAATTTGTTTTTATTTGTATTGCACAGTAGAACTGTTCAAAAACTTTATGCCAACCTGGAAAAGAAAATGCTCTCTTAAACAGAAGGACCAAGGCGGTAATGGGGAAAACAGGTTAATGTAGAGATATGTGATTTCGGATTCTTTATCTAAAAATAGTGTGATAGACAGAAAGAGTTCCAAGTTTTACTTCCAAAGGACCAAAACCAATGAAATCCTAAGAAAAGAATATGGAGCTAGCAACTAGCCAGCTGACCATTTACGTAAATAGAACGTAACCCCCCTTCTGTTTATCCCATCGCTGAGGAGTATTGTTTGCTTTTGCTTAGGACCAGAAATATATACATTCTGATGCTCAGAAAGGCAGCAGAGAAACACTGCTATAGATTTTCAGTCCAGAAGGAACTCAACATTTCATGGAACCTTTTGGGTTTAGTTTTTCTCAAGCATAGACCTGTGACTATTGTGGGATAAAAGAAAGTAAGAATCAGGCTGCCTTGGTTGGAGGAGAAAATCTTAAGGTCTGATTGCACTATGCACAAACTTCCAAACAAGTCCCTGATTTCTGGAGGAACCTACCCCTGACACATCTGGAGCTCCTCTCTGCAGAACCTCTCAGGTGTCTGCAGAGTCAGCGGCTTCTCTTTCTGTGATGCCCTGCGGCCCAGAGACTTCAGCTTTCCCATTCTGCTGTGTCACTATTCCCACTTGGCTTTTGATGAGAAAGAAAGCATTAATTTCTTAAAGCAATTCCTCTTGTTTCTCTGACTCTCTGTCTTGCTCTGATTCTGTCTCACTAATGCACTTGCTTACGCTTTCTTCTCTCTCAGTCTTTTTCTTTTAAGCAGAAGTCTAATTAGTCTTTCGAGAATCCTGATTAATGAATAAAGAGAGAAAGAATTGCATTTTGAAGTAATTCTGTGAGTTGGAGGGAGTATATTTTTTAGAGAAGGAAGATGTATATAGAAACATTTGAAAGAAATATCATGAATCCTCCAGAGGTAAAGCTTCATGGGAGCTAAAGGCATATTCTGTTACACTGAATGTATTTTACTTACTGTTGTGCCTTCAGATCTTTGCTATTGTTGTTTAAATATGTGCATTTCTTTCCTCCAAAAGTCAGATCCCTTTCAAGCAGTTATTTTGCTGAAATACGCACTGTCTTTCTCTTCTATTGCAAGTTTAATGATATGCATTTTTCAAGACAGCCATCAGAGTCAAGATGCAAACGTACCACAGTTGTTTGCTCTTTTCCTCGTGATATTAACTAGCCCATCCATTGGGAGCAAACCTGGGCCTCACCAGCAGTGTGCTTCATCAAGCTGCAAAAAAAATGGCCACATTTTTTAAAAAAAGCATGTGGCTAGCCTATTAAGAATACTTCAGTCAAATTTTATGAAGCTTTAAATAAATGGATTTTATGGCTATTCTTGCAGATCTTATTCTTTTTTGAGTTAACTTGCAACTAAATGTAATGCTTTCTCTCTTTTGTCACCCCAATTTTTTTTAGCATACAAACTACTCCCTGGGGCTAAGCATCTCAGATGGAGTCATAAGATAACTGTAACTTAATGGGACCCCAGTGGCCTTTAAAAGTTAATGCAGCTAGAGCAATTAATGAAGCTTCTAAAGTAAGGGATGTGAGCCTGAGGATAATTTATGCATTGGGATGATCTAGTTCATTATTGGCATTATTTAACATTCCCCGGGCTCTCAAGTAGTTCATGGCTATACATCCAAAAATAGGACAGGAAAATATTTCTGACTCCTATAGATAGAAAAATATTCTTCAAGTTAGAATGAAAAAGATCTTGAAAGGGAACACAACAACGAGTTGGGAGAATGAAAGTTCTTTTCTATAAAAATTCAGCTAATAAATACGTGGATGAAAGAGTGATAGAATTCTATAGCTGCATTTTACAACTAGGCAACAATCGCAATGGATTTTAAAGTTTGGGGAAAACTTGATTGAAAATTTTATAATGAAGACAGACTAACATCATCTGAATTCACAGATCAATCTTAACATCATTAAATATCTAGGGCAACCAGATTATCATGGGGTCTCAATGATGTGAAGTAATAGGATGTACAAAGCACCACATATGAAATATGTTTGTAAGAATACTTGAGCCTGGATATCTTAAGTTCTCCAGTGTTTCCTATAAATTTGTGGGAAATACTGGGGAGAGAGGAACGTGAATATACACATCATGAGGAAGTAGTCAGTCAAATGCAAAGTGTGGGACATTTGATAGTACATATCCATGGAGTAAATAAAACTTAAAAGATATGACAACTTAATACAACACGTGGACATTGAAGGATCTTGACTCAAATAAATCAAGTACACAGGAAAGGTTCATGGTTTTAAGAAATTATTAACTTATAAAAGATGATGATTGTTTAAAAACAGTCTTAGAGAAGCATGCTAAGTATTTACAGTGAAATGCCGTGATATATGGAATTTGCTTTAAAATATTCTGGCTAAAATACATGGGTCAATAGTTGAATTAAGGCTGGCCATAAATTAATATGTTTTAGAGCTGAACAGTCACTATATGAGGGCTGATTAGAGTGTTCTCTGTACTTTTTGCTATGTTTGAAAGTTTGCATGGTGAAAAGGAGAACATGACACAAAGATGATAAGTGAAAGAATTGTATTTTCCATGACTGAAGACATGGTGTCACAATCACATCAAATCTGGATGTTGTTTGGAGCTAATATAAAATTTTTAGACATCATTCAAATACAATCGCAAAACAAGAGGAGTGCTTCAATTTTGTGTTGTTAGCATTTTTGTAAAGTTATCTCACTGTGAATTTTACCTACCTATGAGATGTATATAACACAATTTCCAAAACACATTATTGATAGTTGCTCTATTATTTAAGCAAGCTAAGAATTTCATTGGTTCTGACGTTTTGGGTGGGTTCCAGTGTCTTCCTGTGGATGACTGTTCAGCAGTTAGCTGTGATTTCAGTGCTCTTGAAGGAAGAGGTGAGCACAGGTCCTTTTCTGCCGTTTTGAACCAGTCTTTCATTCTGGTGTTTTTAAGTTTTCTTTTATATTGAAGTATAATTGATTTACAACTATTGTGTTAGTTTCAGGCTTACAGCAAAGTGATTCGGCTGAATAACTGTACATACACCTATATCCATTCTTCTTCAGATTCCTTTCCCATGTAAGTTATTACAGTATGTTGAGTAGAGTTCCTTGGGCTATTCAGGAAGCCTTTGTTTATTATCTATTTTTTATACAGTAGTGTGCATATGGTAATCCTCAGCTCCTGGTTTGTCCCTCCCCTCCCACGTTTCCCCATTGGTAATCATAAGTTTGATTTTGACGTCTGTGAGTCTGTTTCTGTTTTATAAGTTTGTTTGTATCATTTTTTAAGATTTCACATATAAGCAATCTCATATGATATTTATCTTTCTCTTTCTGATTTACTTCACTTAGTATGATAATCTCTAGATCACCCATCTGATAGTTTTAATATTGTCAAAATACCAACTTTTCTAAATTTTTTTGGCTATGCTGAGGGGAAACATGATCTCCCCTTCTTTTGCAAGTGGTACTTTCCAGCTCCTTAATTTAAATAACTTGTAATGACAGGTAAAATGATCATAATATTTATTATACCTATTTATTTTGAGAATATTTTCTAATTCCTCACTCAGAGGCTGTAGATACACACAGTGATTTAGTTTATTTTAAACAAATTTTACAAAGTGCATTTAAAACAATTATACTATATGTGACTGTTTCCAGCGAAGTACCTGAAAAAGCACCAGTGTGAAATTGGGGAAACTGAGCTAATAAATAATATTTAAGGAACTGCATCATTCCAAAGGTGCTGAAAAGCAAAACAATGTGAATTTAAATAAAGCAGTCCTTTGTGTGTGCCTGTGCAGAGGACCTACCCTGTAATTCAGGCACACGTGTCCTCCTCACAGAGTCTCCCCAAGGCAGTTGAATTCACATGATGCCCTGTCTTTCTTCCTTTCTATCATTTCTCCATCTTTTCAGACCCTCAGAAGACAAACCTGTGAGTGAAACAACTGCATCAGCCACTGCTAAGATCTCATCTACAAAACAGAATCCGTGATGCTTCATGCTGATATCTCATCTCTATACATGTATGTATATTAATATATTTTGTTTTGGTAAAAATGCTTAACATGAGATCAACCTCTTAATAACATTGTAAGTGTACAATACATTGTCATTGCCTCAGGTACAGTCTTGTACAGCAGATCCCTGGAATATATTTAATTTCTCCTGTATTTAATGTATTAAATACAAAGGTATTTAATTTGTACTGTCCCAGTTATGCTCCCCAAGTGATCTAGGAGTGGTCTTGTTGATTGCTCTGATTGCTCTCTTGTGGTGGACACTTCTCTGTACTGCACATATCCTATCAGGTACACCTCTATAGGAATTCATCTCTCTCTGTTCTGCCCCAAATGCCAGTCCAACTCAAGAGAGTGTCTGAGTGTGTGATGTACCACTTGATTTTCTTCCCAGCTGATTGCTGCTCTTAATAAGATTTTTGTTTACATCCAATCCTTGTTGTAAGTTAGATACACTAAACATCAGATAAAAAGGGAGAAGATAAGTATTAGTGTCTCGTGGATACCCTTGGTTTCTTTGGGTAGTTTCAATTGCAGTGTTTTCCTACTTTGATGAGACTCAGTGTTCATGGGACTAGGGAGCTGCATAAAATTCAATGATGTGAACAAATCTGAGAGGCCAAACAGCACAATAAAATTTGCCTTTGGGACTCTCTGGAGCTTTGAAGGAGCATTAGGGAACACTACTGTGCTGAAGCTCTGCTGGTCCCTGAGCAGGTGTGAGGTGGAGACACATGGAAAGTTTCTGTGTATTGAATCAGTACCAGCCGTCGTTTTATGGAAAACATCCAATTAAGTGTTTGTTAGCCTTTCGTGTAGAAGAAATCTCGTTCACATTAAACTAATTCAATGTTTCAGAGTAGAAAAAAAGTCACTCACGTACTGGAGATTAGATAATTCCCAGATGGGTCTATTCATTTGTTTGAAGCAGTGGCTCTTTTAAAGTGTGTTCTGGGGACCAGTAGCATCAGCATCACCTGGAAATTTGTTAAAAATGCAAATTACCAAATCCCACTCCAGACCTACTGATTCAAAAAACTCCTTGGTGGCTCCCAGAAATCTGTTTTCCCTATGAAGGGATTCTGGGGAGTATATGAATTTAAGAACCACTGTTCTGATGTGTATTTTTCAAAAGAAAGATTTTGAGATTTTCAGTCCATTAAAAGTTTTCTTAATATAGTAAAATTCTTTGAAATAATTCTTCAAGTCAGAGAAATAGTCTTTTTTTTCTTTTAAGATAATTAATTAAAAACAATGACAATCATACTCGCTTGATAATTCTGCTTGTTGATGGTTAGTCAGAAAATATTCATACTTATTATCATTACAGCTGTCCCATTTTATTGTTTTGCTGACATGATTGAAGGCAGGAGGCGGAGGGGATGACAGCGGATGAGATGGTTGGATGGCATCACCAACTCGAAGGACATGAGTTTGAGCAAGCTCCGGGAGTTGGTGATGGACAGGGAAGCCTGCCGTGCTGCGATCCATGGGGTCGCAGAGTCGGACACGACTGAGTGGCTGAACTGAACTGAACTGCGCACTGTAAATGGCCTGGTGGATAGCTTCTGTGCCTATGTATTTCTAAGGAGAACAAGAAGGGAATGCCTGTAACTTCTCTGGGATCCATGGATTAATAATGAAGCAAAAATTAGTCATGGATAGAGTGTGAAGCTCAATTCAGTTTCAGATTCTAGGTCTGAACAGCATTATTTTCTCCCATTCTAGGAGACAGTACAAGTAGCATTCATTGCCTTGGCAAGCATGTCAAAGGAGCTTAATGCTAGTTATTATCCTAGTGCTCTTTTAAAAAAAATCCTAGTGCTCTTTAACACTATTTCAGAGAAGGCTGCTGCAAGCTTCCCTGTTTATGCCATTATAAAGAAACAAAAAATTAAAGAACTCCTGTTCAACAGCCCAGTTTCTCATATGACTGTGCATGTACATTCTAAAGAGGGTATTAGAAATTGGCAGTATATTAAAAATGAATTTACTATGACTAAGGTCAGTTAAACTTTAATTCTTATGACCTATCTATCCCTAAGAAGATGCTTTTTTATTATAAAGTGCTATTACTTGTTTAAAAGTTTTCTTTGTCTGATACTAATATAGTTCCTTCAGCTTTATTTTAGTTAGTAATCTTTTGGTATATCTTTCCTCCTCCCTTTGTTTAGACAGTTTTTGTCATTTAAAACATACACCTTGTAAACAGCATATAGCAGGATTTTGTTATTTCTATCTAATCTCAAAGTCTTTGCTGTTTATAGAATATTTTTTCCATTAACATTTAATTTAATTAGTTATTACTATATTTACTTATTACTAAGTCTACCATCTTGCTTTTCTCTATTTACCCCTTCTGTTTGTTTCTTTTTCTCTCCTCAATTGCGTATCTTTGGATTAATCAAGTGTTTTTGTTATTCTCTTTGGATTAACCAAGTGTTTCTATTATTCTCATTCTTCCCTCATTTTTAGTAATAAGTTGATAGTAATATTTATCCTTGACTTATTAAAATTTATTTTGAATGAATACTTTTATATTTCCAAAATGATGTTGTTATTTAATAAGGGTTTAACTCCATTTAACTGCTCCTTGGGGACTTTTTTTCTTGTTCCTCTTTCATGTTACAACCATTCCCTGTTTTTGTCTTTGAGGGTATTTATTGCATTTAAAATTCTTGGTCCATATATTTTAATCATTTGGATGATATGCATTCTTCAGCTTTTGTGTTTCTTACTGTATTTATATTACTCTCCCCCACCCCCCAAGTTTTACGGCCAGTGAGTTACTCACGTGCCCCTCAGTTACCACGTTGTCTGGTAGGAAGGGCTTGGACTTAATTCACAGTGTGTTTGGACGTAAGGGGGTGGCTGAGCTCTCTAATGGACAGCTGCAGGCACCATAGAACCATTGTTCCCAACTCTGAAGGGTTCTGCCCCCCCAGGTGAACCCTCAAGTTAGGGAGTAGGAATCTCCTTCCATTTGGAGTTTAGGGTTTTAGACTAGAGAATGGAGGAATCAGTGGAAGATGGCAACACAGTAGCCCATATATGTTTTTTTGGTGTTCTGCTCTCATACTGTTCTGATAACACTGGGATTCCTGATCACAGTGTCAGGCAAAGGTGGTTCCAAAGCACCATGTGTGGGAGAGGAGGCGAAGATGGATGGAGACTGAAAGAGAACTTGAAAGACTAAAAGAGAAATTTAAAAGAGTTCTCCTACAAGCTTCAGTCTCATGGTCTTCTGACCAGGCTGTGTCTATCAAAGCCCCCACACCCACCAATGGCACACATACCCTCATATGGTACAAGCCACAGCAATCTTAGATTTCCTCAGGAGCTTCTCATAGTTAGCATGTGTTTCTTCAAATTCATGCTGTCTTTTCATTTTATAATTTCTCCACAGAGACAAACGCAGTATCCTATGCTAGGTCCCCACAGTGGCAAGCCTGTTATTTCATTTATGATTCTCTCTCTGCCCTTTTCTCTCAGCTCTCTTGTTGAAACTCATAAAATGGGGTTCTATATTTTGATAGAGAAGAAGATTTGTGAGTCAAAAACTAAGGCTGTGACTAAGTATGTGATGTGATCATTTGCTCTGGGAAGATTGAGTATTATGACAGGGAAAGTCCCGCTTCGTCTCCATGTCTTGACCAGGTTCCGAATCCAGAAATCAGAGATAGAAGTGACAGTGAGCCCCATGGCTCTCCCCAACCACAGATTCTTTTTTTAAATTATTAATCTAAGTGAAAGATGGCAAAGTAAGTATACAGCCGATCTGGGTAAAGAAAGAAAGAAAGAAAAGAAAGTGAAGTCGCTCAGTTGTGTCCAACTCTTTGCGACTCCATGAACTGCAGCTTACCAGGTTCCTCTCTCCATGGGATTTTCCAGGCAAGGGTACTGGAGTGGGTTGCTATTTCCTTCTCCAAATCTGGGTATAAATGATTTAAATTCATTTTCATGGTGACTGTTCATGGACACTTGGTTTTTTATTTTTGTACTTCCCATAAGGGAAAAAAAATTTAATAAAAAGGAACAGAAAATAAGAATTTTCTATACCAGCTAATATGATAGTAACAAATGAAGCAACAAGAGGATGAAGCTGATAATTAAAAAAGTTACTAAAATGTTTCCAGGGGATCAGACTATGGCTAACAGTCTGATTGTTTTTGCATAGTTTTCATGTAAATGTCCAAGATTATTTGGTGAAGTGGAAGTTTAGTCATTGCTGAAATTGTTTTCAGGACTCTTAAGGAAATTCTTTAAAACATACTTGGGATAATGAAGAATTGGATGAAAGAAAACTGTAATAGATGCATTCTCTTTGAGGTCTATTATAGTCACTCTTGCAGCCCAGCCTAAATCTCACTATCTTGCTTTGGATTTACTCGAAGAGAAAATGTTTCATTTTTGTGAAGAGCTGTTGGACACAGGGAAACTTCACCTTCAATAAGATTATTTCTAGGCACGGGAACAATTGAAGCATTGTTTCTTCAAAATCGCTGGAATACACTTCAGAAGCCCTCCTGGTAGAATACGCTTTAATTTAGGTCTTATCACTGCTCGTCAGAGCTTTTGTGTCCACCTCTCTTTTGTCTCCAAATGATGAGTAGAGTTGGCACTACATAGACAATTCAGAGAGGTGTTCTGAACTGTCATTGTTTTGGAAGTTTTTATTCTTCCATAGACCATGGAAGAAAGATGCAGTAAAAGATGTTAGGTCAGACACTTAAAAGGTTTTTACACTTAATTCCATTGTATGTTTTCTCTATCTGATGGTATCAATAATTTTATGTGGGGACATTTTCTTTGATGAGGTTCACAGAGTACAGATGTTTTATTTTGATCGGTGTAGAAGTGGCTGGGGTGGCTATGTGGAAGAAAGCTTTCATAGCTTTCTAAATTTCATATGTTCTCTGTTCTATATTTTTCAATTTCATCCAGGCACAAGTTTTTATCCATGTGTCCTTGGTCCCTATTCTTATTCAAGAAAGGAGCGCTGTGAGCCTTCGATTTTTCCTACAGAAATAAGGAAATGTGGCACATTTATTATCAACACTTCATAAGATGCCTTCACCCAAATTAATTTGACAGTAAATGATTTTTAATTACATAATGTGATTACAAGGTTATGGTTTTAATCTTCTTTCTTCACCCAATAAAGCAAAGGTATGTTTTCACATACTGCAGATCAATTTTCCATGAATTTGTTTCTTTAAAATTTTCATTTTTCCTTTGTCAACTGTTTTGTTTCCCTCTTACATGGCCTGGTTTATTCCCCTGAGAATAAATGTTTCATTTATACGTTTATAAGCATTCTCCTTTTTGTTACCCTTGAAACTTTAATTATTTTTGTTCTTATTTTTTTCTCTTATAAAATTAAAGATAGAACTGCCATGTGATCCAGTAATTCTACCTCTGGGTAAAAAGAGTTGAAATCAAGATTTTAAAGAGATGCCTGCATCCCCATGTTCATTGCAGCAGTATTCACAACAGCCATGATATGGAAATGATTCATATGCCTTGGCAGATGAATGTAGGAAGAAAATATAGCATATACACACAATGGAATATTATTTGGCCTTAAGAAAGAACTTTTGTCATATATGACAACATGAAAGAAACCTAGAAGACATTATGTGAAGTGAATTGAGCCAGTCACTGAAGGACAGTACTTCATGATTCCATTTGAATTCAGTATCTAAAATGGTCAAATACATAGAAGCAGAGAATAGAATGTGGTTGCTGGGGGTGGGGGAGGGGGTGTTTTTGGTCAAAGAGTATTAAGTTACAGTTATGGAAGATGAACATTCCAGAGATTTGCTGTGTATCATGTGCTGTAGTTAACAAAATGGCTTTGTGTATTTTAATATAGGTTAAGAGAATAGATTTCTTGTTAAGTTTTCTTAACCCCAAAACAAAATGAAACAAGTCCACAAAAGAACATAAGGGCATTTTTGGAGGTGATGGGTGTGTTTAGTACCTTGATTGTAGTGATGGTATCATGGGTGGATGCATATGTCCAAACTCATCATGATGTATATATTCAATATGTGTAATTTTTATCAGTTATACCTTGATAAATGTTAATCAGCATTTTATTTATAACTATAGAGATTTGTCAATTTTTTTTACAGTCCTCCTTAAAATCTTTTCTACCTCCAGATACATGTCCAGAGTTGTTTTGATTAGTTGACTGGAAAAGTATTTTGCAGTAAAGCAGGGATTATTGTTCAGTTGCTAAGACATCTCTGACCGTTTTGTGACCACATGGAGTATAGCCCACCAGGCTCCTCTGTCTATGTGATTTCCCAGGCAAGAGTGCCGGAGTGGGTTTCCATTTCCTTCTCCAAGGGATCTTCCCTAGCCAGGGATTGAATCCACGTCTCCTGCATTGGCAGGTGGGTTCTTTACTGCTGGGCCACCACGCAGCACAAAGCAGGGATCATGTGTGGCTGTTTGCCGCTCTCTATTTCCACTTCTCACCTGGAGGAATGGCCAAATGGCATGTTCCACAGAGGTTCTCTTGACTTTGCTCTGTTTCTATTCCCTTTAGTTTTTTCTATAGGAAATTCAACAATCTCATCCTTAGAAAAGTAATTTCTATTTTATTTTTCAGATTCTTGACTTGGAATTCTTAGAACAATTGTAAAAACATGTGTTATTTTCTAGATATTTCATTGTAACATATACTACTAGTGAAAAGTTGGAGAGAATTTACGAATTAACCAATAGAAGAATATGATACTATGACTTCAGTTAGATTATTTTTATAATGCTGTATTTTAAAGTGAAAAAGAAGATTACAAAATATTAATTCAGTCATGTAAAGTATATGTGTGTGCTTTGAGGAAACGTGATTGGAAGGATATCAGACAAAATATTAGCAATGGTTATCTGTTGTGGATTGTGGGGTTGTATATTTTTTGTGTAACTTCTACTTTCATTTTAAAATTTTTATTTGGTTTATTATTTTGTAAAAAGCAAAGTACATATATTTCTTTTTCTTGCAGTTACAACTCATTTCCACTTGGGGAAAAAGTCAGTTCCCATTCACAAATTTAGCAATTACCTTATATAGCATGTTGCTTTCCTTTCATAGATTCTCATATACAATCTTAACACTCCATCCAATATTCACTGCTATGTTATTTATCTAGCTTGTTTTCAAAGAAATATTTTTTTTCTGGGAAGCATTCTTTTCTCTTAATATTTTAATGTAGACAAATACTGGTTTTTAAGTTTTCTACTGATATACTATGATTGCCTTATTGAATTCTAAAGTGATAATTCCTAGGCCTATGTCTGGTGAGAATTCCTAGGCCTATGTCTGGATGGCATCACTGACTCAATGGACATGAGTTTGAGTAAGCTCTGGGAGTTGGTGATAGACAGGGAAGCCTGGCGTGCTGCAGTCCGTGGGGTCGCAAAAAGTCGGACATGGCTGAGTGACTGAACTGACTGATTTCTGGTGAGAATTATTTTTTAAGTTTGTAGGTCTGAAATGGATGCCTTGTCAGTGAAATTACATACCTTGTCAGTAGGAGGCATATGTACATTGGTCAGAGTTTTTGTAAATTAAATTTTGCAAGAAATAAAACTCCTTTGGCTCTACTTCTGCAGACCATGGGATGGATTTTTTAAAAAATTGAAAGTCACAGAAAATCTGTTATAAATTCAGAATGTAATATGTTGGCATAGAAATGATATGATTCATCAATGAAGATTTTTATACCTTAGTGGTATCTTTAAAATAATCTAGGAAAACCAGTTTGTCTGACAGACACAAGAACTCTGTTGCAGAGATGTACACTCTCCAGGATCTCATGGCAATTACTAGCATTTAACAAATGATTATTAAATAGCTACTATGTGACCAGCACTATGCTAGATAGTAGGAATTTTTATTGTTTCTATTTAGTTTTTGATTATTTCCAACTTCCTTACAGTTTTGACCTTAGGAAGTATTTCTTCCACTATAAGTGATCTCTTTGCTCTCTGAAAACCTGTCACTGGATGTTAACACAGTCATTGCTCACATTCTGTGTGTTTGGCATTGTTGTTCTTTCTTATATGTTGTTTTCTAGGAGTTTTTGTGTGTATCAAAGTCTCACTCCAAGCATATAACATTTTACTTCCAAGTCCATGAAAATTGGAGGAGTAAACTCCTACTGAAGAAAACAAATAAATTGGAAAAATATAGGATAAAGAAATCTCATGCACGCACACATACACATGAGCATTTGTGCTATCCCATCTCACTTCCTGGGGTAACCTCTACCACTTTTAAATTGGCATGCACTCTTTCTGACATTTTCCTATGCATTTAAACTTGCACACAAAGAAATGCACAATGATATACTTATTTTTACACAACTGTTATAATACACACATTTTACCACACAATTTACTCTTAAGTTAAATCTTACAGATTTTTTGATGTCAGCCACATGAGCCCATTTTTCTTAAAGACTGCATAATATGTCACAGAATGATGGATAAGAATAATCACATATTTATCTACTTCCCAATTAATAGACATTTGGAATACCTCTGTGGGCCACTGTGCTGAGCATATCTACTATAAAGCTGCTTAAACCCATCTTTGTTTGATATGTGGACTTTAGTATGAAGAAACAGAAATAGAATCACAAGGCCAAATTGGGCAAATTTTTAGTAATACTGATTTTTAAATTACTGCTACAGCCCCCTTAAAATGGTAGAGCAGATTATGACAAAATCTTCTTCCTCCTCTTTCATCCACACTGCATGCTATCAACCTGATTGGAGTACAACTTCCGTAAGAAGATTATAGGGGCAAATACTCTCCTGTAACTTAACTTTGCTGGTTGGAATGCGTGTGTAAAAAGGTTCGATTAAGTTCTTGCTATAAAGCGGAACCACAGTTGCAAAATTCAGTCGTAAGAAGTGCTATAGTACTGCTGAATATAAGTGGCACATCTGTATAATGGTCTGTGAGGGAGGGAGGGGATGGTAGGTGTAGACTAGAAAAATAGCATTGCCAGAAATTATAGAGAGGATAACTTTATTTTTACTCTAGTTCTAAATTTTTGAGTGCCAAGGAACAGGGAGAAGGATCCAAAGAAACAGACTGCCTGCCTGTTAGAGTGTGTTGTTAGCTGAGGTCTTTTCTTCGTAAAAGATTAGTATTTCATATATCTGATGAAATGCTTTCAGTATACAAAAGTCAACATGTAAGTTCAGTTCAGTCGCTCAGTCATGTCCGACTCTTTGCAACCCCATGAATCGCAGCACGCCAGACCTATCTGTCCATCACCAACTCCTGGAGTTTACTCAAATCCATGCCCATCAAGTCGGTGATGCCATCTAGCCATCTCATCCTCTGTCGTCCCCTTCTCCTCCTGCCCCCAATCCCTCCCAGCATCAGGGTCTTTTCCAATAAGCCAAATCTTTGCATGAGGTGGCCAAAGTATCAGAATTTCAGCTTCAGCATCAGTCCTTCCAATAAACACCCAGGACTTATCTCCTTTAGGATGGACTGGTTGGATCTCCTTGCAGTCCAAGGGACTCTCAAAAGTCTTCTCCAACACCATAGTTCAAAAGCATCGATTCTTCGGCGCTCAGCTTTCTTCATAGTCCAACTCTCACATCCATACATGACCACTGGAAAAACCATAGCCTTGACCAGACAGACCTTTGTTGGCAAAGTAATGTCTCTGCATTTTAGTATGCTATCTAGGTGGGTCATAACTTTCCTTCCAAGGAATAAGCATCTTTTGATTTCATGGCTGTAGTCACCATCTGCAGTAATTTTGGAGCCCCCCCCAAATTAAGTCTGACACTGTTTCCACTGTTTCCCCATCTATTTCCCATGAGGTGATGGGACCAGATGCCATGATCTTAGTTTTCTGAATGTTAAGCTTTAAGCCAACTTTTTCACTCTCCTCTTTCACTTTCTTCAAGAGGCTTTTTAGTTCCTCTAAACTTTTTGCCATAAGGGTGGTGTCATATGCATATCTGAGGTTATTGATATTTCTCCTAGCAATCTTGATTCCAGCTTGTGCTTCCTCCAGCCCAGCGTTTCTCATGATGTACTCTGCATATAAGTTAAATAAGCAGGGTGACAATAGACAGCCTTGAGGTACTCCTTTTCCTATTTGGAACCAGTCTGTTGTTCCATGTCCAGTTCTAACTGTTGCTTCCTGACATGTAAGTTAACTGTTATCAAATAAGAGTTTTGTAGGTGCTCAGTTCAGAACTGCAGCCATGGGCTT